GGACAAATGGCTGTCCGTGGTGCCTATTAGCATACCAAATTCCAAGCTGGCTTCCAGGCTCCTCAGTATCACAAGTACTTAGTTTTTCATAGCTCACAGACTACCCCCACCCCCAGCTGTTCGTGTCTCCTTATAGCCCTGCTATTTGGGGGGGTGTGGTCTCTCCCTTTGCCCTCTCTTTTGCCCTCTCTCTCTTGTCCACCCCCCATCTTTATCCCTCACTCCAACCCCTCCCCCTCCATCCCTTCCTCTCTCCTCTGCTCCTGCTTCTCTCACGGCGAGGCGCAGTCTGCTGGCCATGTACAGTCTACTCCGTTCTCTCCCTGCTCTGGACTCTTCCAAATGCCTCTGGATGTTCTCTCCCTCATGTCTACAATAAAAACCTTAACCACGCCAGGGAGCTGTCATGTTGTCAACGTACACCAGCATATGCACGTAGGAAAATTTCAAAGTTAACTTTTTGTCCATTTTAATGAGCCGTGCATAGTGGTGCACACCTGTGACCCGCCCCCCCCATCATTCTGGCTGCTGAGGCAGAGGGATCCCAAGTTCAAGACCAGCTTGTGCAACCCCTCCCCTCCCTCCCCCCCCATCTCAAAAGAGCGAGGGTGGCCAGAGAGGTGACAACTCACAGCCGCGTGTAACTCCAGTTCCGGGGGCATCTGACACTCTTTTGGCCTCCGTGGACATAGCAGGCACGTGGTGTACAGACACAGGTGCAGCAACGACTCATACACATAAACTAAAACTAAAGAAAACCAATTGGCCGCGTGTTGGTGGCGCACGCCTTTAATCCCAGCACTCGGGAGGCAGAGGCAGGCGGATCTCTGTGAGTTCGAGGCCAGGCTGGACCGACAGCCTCCAAAACAATACAGAGAAACCCTGTCTCGTAAAAACAAAAAAAAAAAAAAAAAGAAAGAAAGAAAGAAAGAAAGAAAGAAAGAAAGAAAGAAAGAAAACCAATTGGACGAGGAGGGCGGCTCAGTGGGTAGAGAGCACTTGTCATGCTGCCCTAAAGACCACTGTTGGGATCCCCAGGACCCACGTAAAGCCAGACACAGGTGCCTGTCTGCTGTCCCAGTGCTCCTAAAGTGAGATTGGAGGACAAGGCACGGGAGTCTGCATCTGCAGACGAAGAAACTGTCTCAAACAAGGTAGAAAACAGGGGCGGACACCTGAGGCTCTGGCATGTTAATGACTCCACACACACACATGTGGACCTACATGTACGCACATACATAGCATGCATACATGAGTAAATAAACAAACGTAGGTGCTAGTTATTGTTTTGTGTGTATTGGCATGTTGCCTATGTGCAAAATATTGTCTTGCGTGTGCGTGCGGAGCTCAGAGAGCACTTGGTGGGTGTTGGTTTTTTTCCCTCCTTCTACGGTGTGGGTCCTGGGCGTTGAACTTTAGTTATCAGATTTGGCAGCAAGAGGCTTTACCTGTTGAGCCCTCTCACCAGCCCTAATTTTGTATTTTGAGACTTGGTATGTGTAGCCGAGGCTAGCCTGGAACTCACTATGTAGTACAGGCTAGCCTCAAGCTCATGGTCTTTCTTCTTGCCTTAGCTCTATAATCCCTTCTTCTACAATGCTGCCAGACAGACGCCACCACATCCTGGATGATAGTTGTGTGGTACCCATCACACACACACACACACACACACACACACACACACACACACCTGTCCTTAAAGGGCCAACTCAAAACTCTGTTTATAAAGAGGCCTGTCCTAAAGCACACTCTTCCCCTGCTGAGGGTCACAGTACACGCAAGGGCTCCCTGGGGTGACCTTAGGTAACTCTCCCCCTGTTTCTCCATCATCTGTGAGGAGGGTATTGAGGGTGCCTGCCTCCCCCGTACTTGTGAAGACACAAGGAACCATGTTTGTAGAGTGCTTAACACAGACCCAGGAAGGGGCCATCAAAGGTAGCAGTGAGCAGTGAGGTCCCGCCCAAATTCCTCACCCTGTTCCTGGGCATGCGCAGAAACGGCCCCTCCCTGCCTCCCTGGATCCACCCTTCCCGGTGCCCCTCCCTTCCTCTCATCTCGTGGCCTGGCCCCGCTTAGCTCATGTGTCAGACATCTGGGTCTGCCCTTGACCTCACCACTGGAGCTCCATAGGGAAGATTTCAACAAGTAACACTTGCAGCGTAATTGGGAATGCCACGGGCACCATGAAGAGCGCGATCAGGGCGACATGAGAGAGGATGCAGGACGAGGTCAAGGCAGCTGTGATGAGGAGGAAACATTCCAGCAGAGGGCAGCAGACCCCACCCACTCCCAGGAAAGAGAGGGGCCCGTGAGTCACCATGGAATCATCTTGCACATGCATGCCCTCAGGGTTGCTCTGCAAGTCTACCCGGTGAGAAAACGTGCCTGAGAAATAGTGCAAGGGCTGGCAGGATAGCTCAATGGCTACATGCGGGGCTAACTGCCAAGCCCGAGTTCAATCCCAGGGCCCCCAAGTGGTAGAAAGAGAAAATCATCTCTTCCCCACACTGGTCATGGCACCAGTACACACGCCCACACAAATACATACGTGCATAAATACATAAATACATAAATAAATACATGTGGTTAAATAAAAAATAGCCAGTGCAAGCTTTTACCCGCTAAAAGAACAGAGCCCTTGGATGTCGCCATTGGAAAGCAGGTACTGTACCAGAAGGGACTGGTCTATCACCTTGACTTCAGCACAGAGCTGATCCCCAAGTGTCTGACATAGCTCTGTTTACCAAAGTACAGCCCACAGATGTCTGCAGTGTACTTTGAAATGCACTTTAAATACATATATATATATGTATATGCTGATGGTGGCCCACGCCTGTGATCCCGGCAATCAGAATGTAAAGGCAGAGCCATCAAAGGTTTCTGTGGTTTTGTTGTTGTTACTGTGTCCTTGCTGACTTGAGACAAGGATGAACTGTATAGTCCCAGTGGCCCTTAGGCTTACCCTGATCCTCCTGCCTCCCTCGCCCCCCCCACCTCCTGACAGGTGTGCACCTCTACACGGGGCAAGGATCGAGAGTTTGAGGCCAATCTGGTCTAAGTGGGGAGAGCCTATTAAATTACTAATAGCAATAATGGCAATGATAATAACCCAGGCGTTGGTGGCGCACGCCTTTAATCCCAGCACTCGGGAGGCAGAGGCAGGAGGATCTCTGTGAGTTCGAGGCCAGCCTGGTCTACAGAGCAAGTTCTAGGACAGCCTCCAAAACAATACAGAGAAACCCTGTCTCAAAAGACTAAACAAAACAATGCTACTACTACTACTACTACTACTACTACTACTACTACTAAGATACTAATAATAAGCAAGATGTCTTGGAACCTGAAGGGGACTGCAGCCAAGCCTGGAGACCTCAGTTTGACTCTCAGGCCTGCAGGGTGGAAAGAGAAGGCAGACTCCCATGAATTCACCTCTACACATGTACTGAGGCACGTGCGTGCCCACACACGTACACGTGCAAAGTAAATAAATAAGTACATGTTTTCTTTAAAGGTTGTTCTGAAGCTACACAGACATGTACATGCTCAAGCAAGTTCAAGACAATAATGAGGGAATCCGAGTTGTGAAATCGAGACTGGCTGTTGTAAAATCGTTTTCATTTTTTTTTTGTCTAAAACATTTTCAGAATGTTTCAGATGTTATGAAATGAAAATACTCTTTAAAAAAATGAAGACAGGGTCTCCCTGGCTGGCCTGGAACTTACTCTGTAGGCCAGGCTAGCCTCAAAATTACAGATCTCTGCCTGCCTCAGCTTCTAGAATGCTGGGATCAAAGGCATGAGTTAACTCTTCAAAATAAGAGGGGGAAAGGACAGTTAATGGTAAGAGATATTATGTTTATTGTGCAAATGTAGGCTCCTCTGCGCCTAAGGGTGTCTTTTTTCCCCCATGGTATGTGTGTGTGTGTGTGTTCCCTGCTGGCAAGCACCCTATAACTAAACTAGCCTAGGCTTTTCATGGTCTAACATCTGCCCAGCAAAACCAAACGCCCCAGGGCAATGCCCCTGTCTTAGTCTTGGTCCAGTGTTGGGACTGGGGGACTGGAAACAGACTGCAGTCTTTGCCTGTAGACACCTCCACCTGCTTGACCCCGGAGGAGGGAATCCTACAGTCTGCAGTTTCCAGGAAGCTGCAGCTCTCCTGGTACCCTGGACCACAGAAAATGTGAGGCAGCGTCCTGTGTGGGGTCCACCAGTGCCCAGATGCAGGCCTGTTGCTTCTGGTGAATGACCAACAGTGCGCCCTTGCCCTGAGGAGTCTCCATGCACCCAACAGGGGTAATACAGTCCTCTGTGCCAGGCTGAGACAAACAGGCACAAGGAGGCTTTGTGCAGCCCCTCTGGTCGCTACCCCTGTGCCTGAGTGGTTCCTGAACCCTGGGCCTTCTGTGTCCCTACCCGTGTCGCTGAAGGGGCTCTCCCACATGTCTGAGAACCTCCCAGCTGAGTGTCCCTCTCCCTTTCCCTGAGAAAGCCTTATACTTGTCCAGTCTTCCGCCGCACCCTCTCCAGCCCGTCGGGAGAGGGCTTGCAGCTCCAAGGCCATTTCTTTCCCTCCACTAAATGCCCATGTGTTTCCCAACCTTGCAAACCTCCATGAGACTCCTTCATACCTGGGGATAATAGCAGAACTTTTACCTAATTGAGCAGTCGGAGGATTCGGTGAGCTCATGCCTGGGAAGCACCCGGCTTGTCTATTGCACAACGGACACAAGCTGCCATTGTTTCTTCCTGGGTACCACACACACCCTGCCGGCAGCTGTTCCCCTGCCCAGCTGCCTTTCCCAGCCCTGAGCGCAAACGCTGCGTGCTAGCCAAGTGTGGATGGCTTCCCCTCTTCAAGCCGGTTAGACTGAGCTCAGCAGCAGTTTCCATCCATATGGCAATTCCCAGCTCCTTCTGCCAAGTGAGACAGTGCAAGCCCCACCCCCACCCCCACCCCACCCCCGGCCGTCCCTCTCTAGGGAGCACAGTGAACCATGATGAGAAAGGACAGTGTGTTCGTGTTTATTCACAAAGCTCAAAGCAGCCCCTTTAAGGACACCCAGGAAGCTCTCCCTCACCACCCCCAGCTCCTCCAGGCCATGGCAGCTGGGCATCAGTTTAGGGCATGATGGCGGCGATACTCTGGAAGAGAGGAGACGGGGAGTTAAATACAGGCACATGGGAACAAGAGGCCTGGGATTTGATCTCCTGTTCCATTCCGGAGAAACGATAGGAAGAGAAGTTGTTTGTCTTGGAATAATGGGGAGCCAGCTCTACCGGGGAGATGGGCTGGGGAAGTCCCGTGGGTTTCATCTCAGAGGATCTGCTGTCACTCCGAGTTAGGGCTATCACATACCCTGAGCCCTGGGCCCTAAGCTCAGGAAGCTGCTTTTATTCCATCATGAAGACCAGAGTTTGGATTCTAGTACCCACATTAGGCAGCTCACAAACACCGTAAATCCAGCTCTAAGGGATCCGACACACAGTGTATACACACACACACACACACACACACACTTTCAAATTTTTCTTTTTTTCAAAAAAGACAAAGCAAGACTCTGGACCAAGAATAAGGACCAGAATGCCACAGCAACCTTTCTGCTCTCAGCCTGGAAGAGAGCTCCCTGCCAAGCCAAATGACCCCTGCTCCGCTCAGCCACACAAAGCAGCAGGGCAGGGTAGGAGAGGTATTCACAGGAGGGCCAGTGAGTAGGACAGGCACTGGGAGGAGAGGTGATGGGGAGCCCTGATGGGCACATGAGGGATAGTTTCAGCATCCCCACCCTCCCTGGCTCCCAGATGCTCCAGTGCCCCGGAGGTGATTTCTGCCGGCTTATGTTTGTTCACGGGGACTGGAAAATACCCAGAGCTGCCAGGGAGTGACGAAAGGCCAGAGAGAGCCAGAACAGGTTGGATGGTCTCTAGAGAGGCTGGGCTTATCCACAAGGACGCTGACTGCAAGGAGGCTATAGGAAGGGAAGTCAAGGCTGAAGGGTGGGGAGTAGGAATCGTGGGGGGCACTCACCCTCCACAGAGCTGGGAAGTTGATAAATGGCTTGTTGACCGAGGCCTGGAATTCAAGGACAAAGCCGGTCACCCACCTCCAATCAACCAGCGTCGTTGGGAGAACCTCCACTCACTCCCCTCTCCCCGCTGCAAACCCATGGTACACCCAGAGACTCACCCCAGAAACTGCTGTAGTGGTTGCGGCCCCTGCCCCTCCGTGTTGGCCTGTGTACCCGCCTTGGTGAGCGCCCTAAAGACGAAGCCCAGATTATCACTCCCACCCCTCGACCTGCGAGGGTCTCCCTCACTCCTCTTCCCCCGGGGAACCCACCCCCCTCTAAGAGGCCCGCCTGGGTCTGGAGTGGGAGCCCAGGCTGACCTTCTGGGTTCCTCGTTCACTGTCCTGAAAGACAACTCGGAGCCCCAGCTGCTAAGGGAGAGAGGGACAGGACTCCAGGAAGGATGTCCGCCTCTTGTTGGCTCGCCTCACCCGAGCTCTCCTTACAGCCGGTGTTAGGGAGATGTCTCCCTCTTGGAGAAGAAGGAAGACTCGGGTGACCCATACGGATACCAGAGTCACCCTCGGCCCTGTTTTTGAATCTCCTTTCTACAGTCTAGCCTCAGGCCCAACACCTGTCATCCTCACTTGATCGCAGGGTCACTCAGCGCAGCCTCCCCAGTTGCACCCCGCCCTCAGCTTCTCTTGCCCCCTCCCCCCAGCCTCTGCTTTGGGTGTCTCACTCGGGGTCTTGTCCTTCACCGGGACTCTTTCTGGACCCCTCCTCCCCACACAGCCCTCCGCGACGCCCTCCAAACAGCAGATGTGACTCTGGGCTCTGAGACCTGGACCTGTCCGTCCCCTGGATGGTATCCCAGCTCGCTGACCTCGGTGACTGCTTATGGGGGGTGGAGAACGGGAAACTGGGGCCATGCAGGAGTCGGCTACTGCTACTGCTCCCCGCTCTTCCTTGGGGTCCTGCTCTATTATCGCTGCCTGCCTGGCCTCCAGCATCTGCTCCCTCTGGAAGTATGGGTAAGGACTCCCCAGAAGCTCCCCTGCCACCCAATCAGGAAGGTAAAGGAAGAGCACTGCACCTCATCCACTGGACGCGTGTCACGTGACCTTGGTGGGTGTCCTTAGCCTCACTGAGCCTCAGTTTCTTTATCTGAATGGCATATTGCCATCACCCTCATCCCGACTAGCCCAGAGGCTAGTTACGACAGAGCCTGTTGCCAGAGTGTCTCCTCACGCTCTGAGTTTTCTCAGATTCCATCTGTTTGTACCGTATCTGAGCTCAGAACCATCCCTACTTCCAGGAGAGGGGACAAGTTAGGGTCCCTCCTCTAGGAGGACAGCCCCCTGATAATGGGACTAGGTCCCTTCCACCTTGTCTCAGGTGAAGCTTTGCAAACAAGACGGTTTAGCCCGTCCGACCAGCTGGCCACCAGCTCTGTAGCAATGGAGGTGCAAAGGAGGGAACCCTGTGTTACGGCTTCCCAAGGATTTAGCCTCTTCCCTCCCACAGCTCCCTTCCCCCCATTTTCCCCACCTCTGTTCACCTACATTCAGCAGCTGGTTGGCCTCCTTGCTGGCTTGGTTGACCCCATTATGAACATCTTGCTGCAACCTGTTCATTTCCTTCCCGGCCTGGCCAGCAGCATGGTCGACACCTTGGCCAAGCTTCTCCGTTGCCTTCTCGGCCTGGCCAGCAGCATAGTTGACCCCTTGGCCAACTTTCTCTGCCTCCTCCTTGGCCTGGTTGACCCCAGTGTGGACCCCTTGGCCAACTCTCTCTATCTCCTTACTGGCCTGGTTGACCCCAGTGTGGACCCCTTGGCCAACTCTCTCTATCTCCTTACTAGCCTGGTTGACCCCAGTGTGGACCCCTTGGCCAACTCTCTCTATCTCCTTACTGGCCTGGTTGACCCCAGTGTGGACCCCTTGGCCAACTCTCTCTGTCTCCTTACTGGCCTGGTTGACCCCATTGTGGACCCCTTGGCCAACTCTCTCTGTCTCCTTTACAGCCTGGTCAATGGTATGGTGGACACCCTGGCCAGATTTCTCCATCTCGCTCCCAGCCTGGTTGACTCCAGGATACATCGCTCTGTCTCCCTCTTGCCAAGCCTGCCCTGCAGCATAATAGCTATGGCCGTGACCGTGGCCAAACTGCTGTGCCTCCATTGCGGCGTGGCTAAGTCCCTGACCAGCTCCTTGTATCACTTTCCCTCCTTCCTTCCCAGCCTGGCCAAAGGCATTGTGAACCCCTTGACCAAACTTCTGTGCTTCCTTCTCAGCCTGGCCTAAGGCATTGTGAACCCCTTGGCCTAACTTCTCTGTCTGCTTCCCACCCTGACTGAGAGCATGGTGGGCCCCTTGACCTAACTTCTCTGTCTGCTTCCCACCCTGACTGAGAGCATGGTGGGCCCCTTGACCTAACTTCTCTGTCTGCTTCCCACCCTGACTGAGAGCGTGGTGAGCCCCCTGACCGACACTCTCTGCTTCCTTCGAAGGCTGACCAAACGCATGGTGACCATCTTGACTAAATTTCTCTGCCTCTCTCCCAGGCTGACCAAAGGCATTGTGAGCCCCATGACCCAACTTCTCTGTCTGCTTCCCACCCTGACTGAGAGCATGGTGGGCCCCTTGACCTAACTTCTCTGTCTGCTTCCCACCCTGACTGAGAGCGTGGTGAGCCCCTTGGCCAAATTTCTCTGTCTCTTTCCAACCGTGGCCCAAAGCATTGTGGGCCCCCTGTCCCAACCTCCCAGCCTCGTTTCCAGCCTGCCCCGCAGCATGGTGGGTCCCCTGAGCAAACCTCCCTGCTTCACTGCCCGCCTGGTTGACCCCGTGGTGGCCCCCATGATGGATGATTGTGTCTTTCTCCTTCCCAACCTGTCCAGCAGCGTGGTTGACCCCATGGGTTAACTTCTCTGTTTCCTTTTCTGCGTGTCCGATGCCATTGTTGATGCCATGGGCCGCCTTGTCCAGCTCATTGCCGGCCTGGCTCCCCATGTTGCTCAGTCCATCGAAAACTCTCTCCACTTCCCTTCCAGCTTGAGTGATCCCGTTGTTGATGCCTTCAAGGGCCTTGCCCACCTCTCTCTCTGCGTTGCTCAGCCCTCGGCTGAACCCTTCTATGACCCTCTCGATGGGGTCATCATGGGCTGCCCGCGCAGGCAGAGCCCCCAGGAGCAGTAGAAGGCAGCAGGACCCGAGCGAAACCGTGACATGCATGTTGTTGGGGAGGCCGGGAGGGTGCGGAGAGGAGCCGAGGGAGCGAGGCCGCTATTTATCCTCCGCCTCCCTCCCTTTCTCCACCCCTCATGACTCAGTGGCCCCTCTGAGGCTGTGACTTAGTTCCCAGTCAGGGAGGTGTTTCCCCAAAGACATCTGGGATTGGGCAATGAGGAGGAGGAGGAGGAAGACGGGATGAGTCACAGAAAGGATCCTAGAGCATCTTTGCTCTATGACCCGCTCAGGCCCTCCACCCCGGTGTAGGGCTCTGCCCTGCCCAGCCCCCCTCCTGTTTTCCTCTCTCTCCCACCAGCACCCTCCTTGCTCTTGAGCCCCCATAGGACCGCCCTGGCAGCCCTCTTAGAGATCTGAATGCATCAGTTGCCCGGCTGGATAATTTTGGAAAAGTGGAATGCAGTCAGGGAGGAGGAGAGACACCCAGGAGCCGAGGAAGTCACCTAATTTCGTTCCTGGTGTCTCCCCTGCCACCCCTCTGTCTGCCCCAGTTACGTGGCCCTTGTCCCAGCCCCTGTCATTACTGCCTGAAGGCTCTGCACGTGCCTGGAAGCTAGAGCATCACCACCCTGTTGGCTCCACTCAAATGGCCTGCATCACAGAAAGCCCTTCCTGATCATCCCCAGGCAGTGGGGTGGTACGGGTATGATGATTATGCCCTGTGACATCATTCTGCTGTTTCTATAGTACTTGTGGCAATCTTAAATTTCGTTTAGTTTAGTTTTTAATGGCGTGTTTCGCCTTCTAGGCTGTACACTTCCAGGCCCTCTGTGCTGGACGCCGCTATAAGCCCAATTTAGGGGACATTAACCGGGTCTCAGGAACTATAGATGCAACACATGAATGGCTTAGAAGGCAAGGGGATAGTCCAAGCCTGAGCTCATCTCACGGGGCGCTGGAGCCCGTGCCTGGGTCCTCAAAGCTGCACGGGGTCTCTTGGGGAGGGCTGCAGATTTTGGAGCCAGGATCACGTGCTCATGACAGATCCTGGCCTCTTTCCTCCCAGCCCTCAGGCAAGGGCAGGGGGAGGGGGGCTGAGTGTCATTTGTCATGCGCTGGGAGAGGACGCAGCGATACCTGAAAAGCCGGTTGAAGCTGCAGGGGGGGGGTGCGGAGGCTCAGAGGCCCGGTGCAGCAGCAGCTGTCTCAGACATAAGGGCTGGGGGCCAGGACCTTTCCCTTCCTGCCACCTGAGGTCTTCCCCTGCAGCCTCCAGTGCCCCGACCTAAAGCCCCAAGCATTGCCCTAAGGGCTCAGATTACTGGGGGAAGCGGTTGGGAGCCTGGGCTGGGGCTGGAGCCCAGCATTAGAAGGAAGGGCAGGTCTTGACTGGTGGACGATCCACAGTGTCTACCTGGGGGATAGTTTAGAGAGAGGTAAACAAGAGCCAGTGGGTGGGGAACAGCCGGGTGAAGATGTTTAGGTTTTGACGCCAACGGTGAGACCGACCCAGGGGTAATAGTGGGAAGGTCAGGCAGGGAAGAATGCACAGGGTGTGCACCAATGGAGGAGGCAGAGTTATGTGTGTGGGTGCCCAGGTGTGGCTGAGATTCAGCACGCATTTTCAGCTTCAAACCAGGGCATGAGGTGGTCCCCTTAAAGAGACACTAGCCACACCCAGAACCAAACATCCCAGGACCAGGGACCCTGGAGCCTCTGCCTTCCCCTGCTCTGACCGCAGAGGGTGGCTGATTGGGCCACCCTGCTGAGTGGGTCCGTTTCCCAGTTTCACACTCCAATGACAAAGGCAGGGCTCTGGGCAATCTTGGGCACGACACTCCAGCCTGAGCATCTCTAAATGATGGAGAGTCAAAGGCCAGGCAGAGAAGTGAGCCAGGGTGTGGTGGGGGGTATCAGAATCCTGGTCCATTCCAAGATAGATAGGCTCGCCTTCCCTTTTTTAAAAGGTAGCCTATCTTCCCTATGCTCTGTTGTGATAGGGTCCCTGGAACTCACTATGTGTCAGTGGCTGGATGGCCTGGAACTCTTGATCTTCCTAATGCTGTGACTGAGCGCTGGGGTTTGCAGGCACACACCACGACTCCGTAGTTTCTTCTCCATCCTTCTCTCCCTCCGTCAGCCCTTCTTCTCGGTTTTCTGTCCCCATCTTCCTCCTTAACTGCTGCCGGCAGCCTCTGGCGATGGACCTGGGCTGGTCTTTTGATGCCGGTGGAAGAAGCTGCATTTGGGGTCTCACAATTCACATCACCCCAAAGAACCATGCAGTATATGTTCCCACGGGATGGTTGCCCAGTCCAAGGATGTCACAGTGAGTGCCTTGCCCAGACCCTCTGCAGAGGGACTGCCTGGGGCTCCCCAGCTCAGGCCGGGGGTCTGCCACAGTTAGAAAAGGAGATACCACACTAGCAAGGGCAGTTATCTATTCCCTGGGATTTGACAGATCCGCCCATAACCCTGACCTGAAGCAGCTTGTTGGGAGAAGAGTTCATGACTCTTTCCTCTCTTGTTATTAATCAGATTGGTCACTTCTAACACCAGATCCTGGGAAGCCATGCATCCCTTTTGTTTTTGTTTAAGCTAGGGCCCCATACTATAGTCCAGGCTGGCCTCAAACTCATGGCAATGCTCCTGCCTCAGCATCCTGAGTACTAGGATTGCAAGCAGGAACCACCCTGCCCATATCTGGTGGGGGGAGGGGGCTGATGTGGTTCTGGCTTTGGTTTTCTGAGATGGGATTTCTGTATGTAGCTCAGACTGGCATAGAACTTATCTGCCCACCTTAGCCTCACAGGCTCTGAAGTGACATGCGTGTGTCACCATACCAAGGAAACTTAGCTGAGTCGGCGTCTGGATGGCTCTCCCTGTACACACTGCTTCCTCGCACATCCAAGGCACGTGTTTGCCACGAGGTCACATACACGCCCTACCCACGTTTACATTTTATTTTGTTCATGCTTCGCTTTTGAGACAGGGTCTCACTTCGTAGTTCTGGCTGGCCTGCAACTCACTATGTAGATCAGGCTGGCCCCCAGTCTCCCAGGGATCTGCCTGCCTCTGCCTCCCAAATGCCAAGAGCAAAGGCATGTACCACAACACCCAGACCTTTTAAAACATTTTTGTGTTGAGATTAGGTTACCTTGAACTCCACTCTGTAGCCCAGACAGGACTTGACCCTACGATCCTCTTGCATCGGCTGCAATTACAGATTCATGCCTGTCTCCCTCCAAATAGTTTCCTTCTCCAGGGCCATCCAAGCAGGAGATGGTCTTGCTGACTCCTGTCCCATGACTGGTTCTTGACTTGCTATGGTTCTGGCTTTGATTGTGTGGGACAGGACCTCTGTGTGTAGCCCATGGAAAGATGCCATGGGAACTTGGGAAAGGAAGAGGCTATGTCATTGTATGAGTTTTGGGCCTTCCTCCCTTCTCTCTAGGATGGTGACTCCTTTCTGTGGCAAAACCCCACACTCCCCTTGGTCACAGCTGCGTGTCAACCGGCCCTGCAGGTGCCTGGCAGTGAGTCACTAAGGTGGCTCAGGGGGACATTTTCCCAGACACTTCCTAAAAGCCTGCTTTGTAAACTGGGCGTGGTGGCATGAAACTGTAATCCCAGTACCTAGGAGGCTCAGGCAAGAGGACCCCAGCAACTTGGAGGCCGGCTTCAATGACACGGTGGGATTTTGTCCCAAGAAATGAAGATAGGGCCCGGAGAGGTGACTCGGTAGCTAAGAGTGCTGACCACTCTTGTAGAGACCTGAGCTCCGTTCCCAGCACCCACAAGGTGGCTCACGACCATCTGTAACTCCAGGTCTAGGGGATTTGACGCCCTCTTCCGGCTTTGAAGAACACCAGGGAGGCACACAGTACACAGACGTACATGCAGGCAAAACTCTCAGATACATAAAACAAATATTGCTTTGGCCAGGCGTTGGTGGCACACACCTTTAATCCCAGCACTCGGGAGGCAGAGGCAGGAGGATCTCTGTGAGTTCGAGGCCAGCCTGGTCTACAGAGCGAGTTTCAGGACAGTGTCCAAAACAATACAGAGAAACCCTGTCTCAAAAAACCGGAAAAAGGGCTGGAGAGATGGCTCAGAGGTTTAGAGCACTTGACTGCTCTTCCAGAGTTCCTGAGTTCAATTCCCAGCAACCACATGGTGGCTCACAACCGTCTACAATTCAATCTGGTGCCCTCTTCTGGCATGTAGGCAGAACACTGTGATATATGTGATAAATAAATAAATCTTTTAAAAAATGGAAAAAAATATTGTTTTAAAAGAAGAAGGAGAAGGCCCAGCTTGTGTCAGGTGGTGCCCCAGATCCAGAGGGACACCAGCGGATACAGCATCTCCAGAATACACAGCTAGTGAGGGTGACATGGATCAGGACAGCCTTAGGTGCTAGACACAGGAAAACTACAAGGCAAGGAACGGGCTGTTGTGAGAAGACACGGCTTCAGGACTGGGGAGAGAAAATACACGAGAGCTGAGGGGTAACTCAGCTGGTAACAGGCGATTGCTGCGAAGCCTGGGGATCTGAGTTCAATCCCTGGAGCCCTCGGCTAGGAGAGAACAGACTCCCACAAGTTGTCCTCTGATCTCCACACAGAGGCATGGGGCGAGGATAAAATAAAATAGAATAACCCGAGGGGCTGGGGGTGGGGCTCAGTGTAAGAAAACTTGCCTAGCATGCCCAGGGCCCTGGGTTGACTCCAGCAAGGACGGGAAAATACAAGAAAGAAACTGAGGAAATGGGAGACCAGATGTGTTCATCACTCACATACAGACACGCCCACCTTACCCGTGCTTCCTAGATATGGCAGGGATGGGTTTGATCGCTTTAACATTGCTATTTTTTAATTCTACATGTATGGGTGCTTTGCCTGAATATACGTCTGTGTGAGCCTGGGCCCTGTGGAGGCCAGAAGAGGGTGTCAGGTCCTCTGGGAGCCGAGTTGCAGAAGATTGTGAGCTGCCATGTGGGTGCTGGGAACCGAACCCAGGTCCTCTGAAAGAGCGAGCAGACAGCACTCTTAACCACCGACCGAGCCGTCTCTCCGGCCATTTGTCATTTTGCTTGCTTGTTTTAAAACAGGGTTTCACAATGTAGTCCAGGCCCGCCTCAAACTCACAGAAACCCTCCTGCATCAGCCTCCCAGGTGCTGAGACTGTTGACAGGGCATTTTTGGCAGATTGAATTTCCGGGCCAAGCCCATGTCCACACATGGTCTGGCTCCATTTCTGCAGCAGCACAGAAGGTTGTCAGCACTGATAACTTAAGGTGTGTGTGGGCTGGGGTGTGGGTCCTCGGCAGAGCACATGCTTAGCCTATGTAGATCTCCAGCATCCCAACACCCAGCCAGGAATAAAAACCAAGGCGTGAACATCGGATAGGCCACACATTTAATATAACAGATGATTTATTAGCCATGTAAGGTAAGTGTTCTGTCACTGAACCTCAAGCCAAAACTTTAAAAAGATGTTATTATTATTTTTGGTTGATTTTACTAATATTTATAATTTATTTGTTTATATTTATAAATATATTTTAAACATTTATTTATTTACACGTGAGTGTATGTCCATGTGAGTGCAGGTACTTGTGGGGGCCAGGAGAGGGCACCAGTGACCCTGGAGCCAGAGTTCTATGGGATTGTGAGCCATTCAACAGGAGGACTGGGTTCAGAAGTCGTGTTGTCTGCTTGAACAGCAAAAGCCACTGAGTCACCTCCCCAGCCTTACCAGCCAGAATCAGAACCACGGAGGAAAAAAACTCTGCGATGGACGTGGCTGCAATATATTTGCACTGTTGCCGTAGCCTAAAACTGAGCCCATAGTATTGACAGAATTTTTATTTAAAACTTTAAAGTTTAAAATAAAAAGTAGCAGAAATTTACTTCCCCTTAGTTAAGAAATCTGCAAGGCAAATGTGCTTTATTTATGGAGTAAATAACTTCTAAGTTAAACGTAGGTTTGAAGATAATTCAGATGGCTTGCTACCAGGCCTAATGAGTTCGGAATTGAATCGCCAAGACCCACATAGTACAAAGAGAGCGTTTACCCCCATTGTTGTCCTCTGGCCACCACATGGGTGAACACACAGACACATCATAAATGAGTGTGACTTAAATTTTTTTTAAAAAGTGTCATACACACTTGCAGTCAACGGGACGTAGAGAGTAAGACAAAGCCCCGCCCTTTCAGAAGTGCCTCTACTCCTTCTGCAGCGGTATACAGCCCAGGCTAGCTGGTCCACAAGCCTTTATGACTACAGATGCTTGCTACCACATCTGGCGGCACGTGTGCGCGCGCGCACGTGTGCGTGCGTGAGTGCATGCGTGCATGTGTGTGTGTGTGTGTGTACACTGGTTGGGTTTTTTTTCTCTAAAAGTTCCTACAAATATAAAATGGGTTTTGATCACGTTTATCCATCCCCACGTACTAACCCCTCCCACATCTCCTCTATCTCCCACCCTCTACCAATTTCATGAACATTTTTAAAAGTTACGGTGTGTGTGTGTGTGTGTGTGTGTGTGTGTGTTGTGGAATATTCCTTTACACTGTGTGAAGACGTATCGCTGTGATTGGTTTAAGAAAAAGCTAAATGGCCAATGAAGGGTCCAGAAATATAGAAATGTAAAATTGTAAGCCCAAACACATTTTGAGAAAAAAAAATACATGAAGCTAGCAGCCACTGTTAACCTTTAACAACTTCCTGCCTTAAGAGCAGACACCCTGACCGCCACTGTGTACAGGGACAAACATGTGACAATTGTCTCCTGCCTACTGAGGACAAAGGTTGGCTTCTAACTGTTGCCTCTATGGGACCCTCTGTGTTGTATTCCTTACTTTTTAACTGTCCTCCTCCGAGACTGTACCCTCTGCCTTGCATTCTTTCAGGGACAGCAAAAAGCAGCTGTGTCAGCCACAGGCTTTCGCAAACATCCTGAGTTAGCATTCTAACATCCTATAACCAAAAGCTGTAAATGTAATGCGACTTTAAGCCTGACGTCAAGGTTACAAAAGCTCTTCCACTCACGCCTGGTGCTTGATTTTACTAAAAGAAGAGGCCCCAAAGAAGCCCCCATTGCCACAATTTCAGAACTCTAAACCCTGGCTGTGGTCTTGCCTATAGCTGATAAGTTTTTGTGCCCCCCCCCTCTTTCTCCTTTCCTGGAGTAAAGCTTGCTTCTGGTTTAATAGACTTTGGTGGTCTGTCATTGCACAACTCCAGACCCAACAGCCAGACTTCTGGACAGACAGAGCTCTGGGGAGAACGAAGGAGGAGGAGTCGAGAACCAGATGCAAGACCAGAATGGGCATAATGGAGATGAGGTAACAGCTGCTTGGAAGAACATAAATTTAAAAATATGGGTCAATTTAAGTTATAAGAGCTAGTTGGAAACAAGCCTAAGCTAAGGTCAAGCTTTCGTAATTAACAATGTCTCTGTCATTTTTTTGTGCGCTGGCGGCTCCCGAAAAAGAAAGTCCATCTACATAGGAGTGTTTCACCTGCATCTATGTAGGCGCATCAATGGGTGTAGTATCTGAGAAGGCCAGAAGAGGGCGGTGGATTCCCTTGGAACTGGAGTTACAAATGGTAGTAAACCACCATGTGGGTGCTGGGAACTGAAACCAAACCAGCTTCAAGAGCAGCCAGTGCTCTTAACGGCCAGGGCACCTTACAGCCTAGCTTCTGTCTGTCTGTCTGTCTGTCTGTCTGTCTGTCTGTCTGTCTGTCTGACTATGTACCTTATCTGCCTACCTGTGTATCTATAGTTTGTTTGGTTTTTTTGTTGTTGTTGTTTTTGGTTTTGCTTTGTTTTGTTTTTCAAGACAGGGTTTCTCTATTGTTTTGGAGGCTGTCCTGGAACTCGCTCTGTAGGCCAGGCTGGCCTCGAAATCACAGAGATCCTCCTGCCTCTGCCTCCGGAGTGTTGGGATTAAAGGCGTGCACCACCAATTTTAAGCCCACACTGATTTGTAAGCCAGTAGATTCTCGGGTGTGGGATCGCCCAGTCGTGTTTCGTCTACATTCCTAAGAAACCCTGACTCTTCCTTTCCCTGCCTGTAGCTCCTGAGCTAGGGCTTGGGACCTAGGAGCCCCTCCCCCATCCGTGAGAATGTTGACTGCCTTGATATTGGGCAGGCAGCAGTGCCCTACGTGACTCAGGAGTTCAGGGGTCCTGTCATGTCGGGGGAGACCCTGCTTCACTGCCGTCCTCCCAGACCTCTGGATCTTACATTATCTCCTCCGCCTGGGTGAGAAGAGCCCCTCTTAAAGCCCTGGGAACCCAGACAGCCAAGGGGAGACTTGGGAGGGGCTTTCCAGGCCTTCCCAGACACCGGGAGAACTAGAGAAACTCCTCAGAGATCCAGGCCATCTTGGAGCAGATGGGCCAGGGGAGGGAGGGAGGGGAACGGCAACCACGAACATCTGTGTGAATCCAGCAGGTTCCACCCTAGGTGCCAGGGGGGCGGCCTTGAAATACTCAGTGTGGAATTCCCAAAGGCCTCGGTGGGCTAAGGTCTCCAGCCTGCACACCCTCGGCCTCTGTGATGTCACTGGGCAATGTGACGTCATCGGAGACTCTGGAGACTCTAGCCAACTCCTGGGGAGATTCACACCCATGTACCATCTTGGAGGGGCCCAAGGCAGACAGGCCATGAGACCTTAGGCCATGTCGAAACGTGACGTCGTCCTCACCAATGTCACTGTTGTCCAACTACTGAGGCAACCATGCCCTGGTGAGGAGAGCCTTTCAGGGAGACCCTGGGAAGAGGAGGGAAGTGTGGTCTGGGAGTCAACGCCCGCCCACACAGGGTGCCCAGAGTCTTGGAGACCCTTCCTCCACCACAATGCTGGCTGCTAAGTGTCCTGGAGGAGCAGGCCCGTGGTGGGGGGGCCTTCAGGCAGCTTCCAGGCTTCTTCCCTCCAGGGGTCCCTGCCCTCCCCATCCCCACTCACTCCTCACCACAGAGCCTCTGCTTGGGATGGGGATGGAGGTTGGGAACTCTGTCCCCGGGACTGCCTGAGCTCTGGGATGAGGCAGGGAGGAGGGAGAGGAGGGGCGACCGGGAGCATCTGTGAGAGGGTTAGGTGAGTGTGTTTCCCCCATTTCACTGATGTCCCTGGTGGCCAGGGCCTAGTCCTCCCTGGGCTGCTGCCCTCCAGGTTGGAGGAGGCATGCGTTCACACCCTCACATGCCTGAGGGCCTGAGTGTCCACTGTCCCCATCCTACTGAGGCCAGCAGAGGTCAAACCACTTTGCAGTCTGGCAGCTGAGGCATGGTGCAGCTGGGGTTCTCCCAGGCCCTCGGGTCTCTGTATAATCTTGCTGCCCGATGCTGGGCCAACCCAGCCAGAAGCTGTGTGCCCATGTGCTCTGTGGAGGTGCTCAAGGCAGAGGAAGCCAGGCCTTCTGGGAGGACAAGCCCAGGTCACTCTGCTGTCCTCGTGCCCCACGGGTGGGTGGGCGTGTATGGGACCCCGGCTTCGGGACACAGCAGCAGACAGGAAGCAGCAGGGGGCTTGCTCTGTAGCCACCAGCTCCAGCCCCTCTGCAGGGGGGTGGGGCGTTGGTGCGGGGAGGGGAGGCAGCGCTCTGAACGGCCCGAGTAAGCAGATTCCCACTTGGAAGTCTACCTGAATAAATCTCCCGGCTTTCTTTTGCTTTAGAAGGGTTTCCATTTTATTTGGGGAGAGGAATGTGTGTGCCACCACGGAAGTGTGGGGACAGAGGACAACGTGGGGAGGGTTCTTCTCTCCCTCCACCGTGTGGGGCCCAGGGGTCAAAGCAGGTCACCAGGCTTGGCAGCAAGGCCCTCTTCCCACTGAGACTCTGGGAGCGCAGAGCTGGAAACTCCCCGATACAGGTACCCTCGAGGTCACCAGGGAGCACAAGGTCACTGACACCAGGAAACAGACACCTGGAGGGATTCTGGGTTGAGTTGGAACACCCAGAGTCCACCCAGGCCTCAGATGTGAGCAGCAGGGAGAGGTGGGCAGGACAGACTCTCATCCCCAACCCCTCCCGGTGCCTCGTTCCCTTGGCTGTGGTGATGTTTCGATTATGATCTAATAAAGTTTGCCTGACGATCCGAGCGCAGGGCTCGCCACACTAGCCATAGAGGCCAGGCAGAAGTGGCATACACACTGAAAACCAGCACAGAGGCAGAAGGATCTCTGGTGAGTTCAAGGCTACCCGGAGCTACAGGGAATTGATCCAGTCCAAACGGCAGTGCTCACACAGAGGTAATCCCAGCACTTGGGATCCCACGCAGTTAATCACAGCACTAGAGAGGAACATAAGGTGGGAGGAGACAGGAGTTGGGGGGTCTGAGGTTTGGGGGAGTCTCAGGTCTGGTGAAGACAGCAGTAGATTCAATCTGAGGATTTGTGGAGACATGATCTCCCTTTCTGTCTGAGGTAGAAGTCAGAGCTAGGGGCTGGCTGCTTTGATTCTCTGATCTCCAGACACGTTTTACTTGTTAGATCATAAACAATATTATCGCCACTCTTGACTGTGGCAGCTCCCATCCGTACCCTCCAGCCCTCCCCTAGCCTTGTCCCCATCACAGATCCCAGTGCTGGACTCTCCGCCTGTTCCGCTACACGCACTTTTTTTTTTGTGGTTTTTCTGAGACAGGTTTTCTCTGTGGCTTTGGAGTCTGTCCTGGAACTCTCTCTGTAGACCAGGCTGGCCTCGAACTCACAGAGACCCGCCTGCCTCTGCCTCCCGAGTGCTGGGATTAAAGGCGTGCGCCACCACCGCCCGGCTTACATGCACTTTTTATTTGCCCGGTCTTTAGTGCTCACAGAACCCTCTCCCAGGCCAGAGTGAGAGGTTGACCTGGTGCAGAGGGTAAAAACGCTTGGCACCAGCTTGATGATCTGCCCCCCTCACCGGGACCCACAAGGTGGAAGCGCAGAACAGACGGGCGTGAGCACACATTCTCTCTGTCTCTCTCTGTCTCTGTCTCTCTCTGTCTCTCTCTGTCTCTCTCTTTTGTCTCCTCTCTCTCCTCTCTCTCTCTCTCCCCTCTCTCTCTCTCCTCTCTCTCTCTTTCTCTCTCTCCTCTCTCTCTCTCTCCTCTCTCTGTCTCTCTCTGTCTCTGTCTTTCTCTGTCTCTCTCTTTTTGTCTCCTCTCTCTCCTCTCTCTCTCTCTCTCCTCTCTCTCTCTCCTCTCTCTCTCTCTCACACACACACACACTCACACTACACACACACACACACACACTCACACTACACACACACACACACAATATTCTTAAATCCTGAGGGGATGGGGCTATGACTCAATTGTAGAGCAATTGCTTAGCCTGCCTAAGGGCCTGGGTTCAAACTCCAGGTTTGGAAAACAAGGAAAGGACCCTGAAGCAAAGGGGAGGCCACACATGCCCGTCACTAGAATGCACACACGCTGGACTGCCCTGGGTTCCCAGGCAGGCACAGGTAGTTGAGTGGTTTGGTTTTTTTGGTTGGTACTGAGACAGGATCCTGTTTTGAAGTCCAGGCCAACCAAAACCTCACAGCGTTGCTCCTGCCTCAACCTCCAAGGGCTGAGATTCTGGGCATGTGCCACTCCACCCAACGTGGGTCCTGTTTGCTTTGTGGGTTTTTTTTTTGTTGTTGTTGTTTTTGTTTTGTTTTAGTCAGGGTCTCATTATAGATCCCAGGCTGTCCTGAAACCCATTACGTAGACCAGGCTGGCCTCAATCTTGGAGAGATCTGCCTACCTCTGCCTCTTGAGTGCTGGTATTAAAGGCATGCGCCTGGCGTGTCATGTATTTTTTTTTTAATTAAGGTGTGTGTAGGCTGGGGTGTGGCGCCATGGCATTCACAAGGTTAGCATACGTGAGGGGACCTGGATTCAACCTCCAGCACACTCCCCTGCCAAGAAAAAAAACAATCCAGATGTTGGGAATTTTAGTCATAAATCTTTTATATATTTAATAGACTATAGTATAATATAGTTCCTGTGTCTTGGTCATTTTAGGCAAGAGTTCTACAACAGATTTTTCTGCATGTGTATCTCTCTCCCTCCCTCTCCCCTCCCTCTCTCTCTGTGCATGCATGTGTACGTGTGTGTGTGTGTGTGTATATGTGTGTGTGTGTGTGTGTGTGTGTGTGTGTGTGTGTGTGTGTGTGTGTGGTGTATTGCAGTTGTCCACCCAAGCCAGAGGAGGCAGATCCCCTGGAACTGGATTTATAGGAGGTTGTGAGACACCTGATACAGGTTCTGGGAATAGAATTCAGGTCACTAGGTGAGCAGCACATGCTCTTAAACATTGAACCATCTCTCCTGATTTTTTTTTTTTGGTTTTTCAAGATACAGTTTCTGTGTAGCCCTAGCTGTCCTAGAACTCGCTCTGTAGACCAGGCTGGCCTCAAACTCACAGAGATCCGCCTGCCTCTGCCTCCCAAGTGCTGGGATTAAAGGCGTGCACCACCAATGCCCAGCAGCTGTCTGATTTTTTTTTAAGTTTTAATTTTTTTGTTTGAGTGTCTGCCTGCATGTATGGATATGCACCCTGTACATGTGGTACCTTCAGAGGCCAGAAGAGGGTGTCAGATCCCCTGGAAATGGAGTTACAGGCGGTTGTGAGGCGCCATGTGGGTGCCGGGAACTGAACTTGGGTCCTCTGCAAGAGCAATGAGGGCTCTCAACTGCTGAGTCGTCTAGTCTCCTAAGGTTTATTTCCTGTATTTAGTGCTTGGGGGTTGAGAGGGTGTAACCGTGCAACAGCATGTTTAGAGAGGTCATAGCAGCTGTTGAGAAGTTGCTCCTCTGTCTGCAATGGGTGCAGGGAGCGGAACTCAGCTTGGCAGAGGTTGGTACAGCAAGGGATTTTTGCAGGTGAGTTTTCTCATAAGCCTGCATCAGTCCACCAACCTTCCCTTGCAATTCCACACTTACTATTCCATAGCCATATAGGAGATACGTGAGTCTGTATTGACAGCAAAGGTCTCAGGAGCCATGCAGATGCAGGATAGGGCAGTTGCTACATCTTTAAATTTGGGGTTATTTGGGGAAGTGTTGAAGATTAGATTAAAGTCTCTTGTCTGCTAGGCAAGTGCTCTACCATTGTGCTGTGTTCTAGTCCCTTAAATTGCATTAATCTCTTAAGAAAATGATTAAATATAACCTTTAATAATTTCATCGTACCTACAAGGCAATAACATTTCTCAAAGTATCATTTTCTACATAGAAAACTTTAATTCACTTTACCACAGCTTCTGTGAGTTATATTTTCTTTTTATCTTTTAAAATTCAAAAGTGTGTGTGTGTGTGTGAGAGAGAGAGAGACAGAGAGAGAGAGACAGAGAGAGAGAGAGAGAGAGAGAGAGAGAGAGAGAGAGAGAGAGAGAGAGAGAGAGAGAGAGAGAGAGAGAGAGCACAGTCAAGGAACAGTGTGGAAGTCAGAAGACAAAGATGAGTCTTTTCTCTTACTGTGTTGATGCAGGTCTGCTGTGTCTGCAGTGTGTGAACTCCAGGCTAGCTGACCCATTAGATTCTGGACTTACAGTTACATTCCACCACATCTGGCTTTTAAATTATATACTATTTTTATTAAAAATTTGGGTCCATATAGGCCATATATTTGGGTCATTTCCAACCCTACCTCCTTCCCATGATTCCTCCCTAACACTAATTCCCTTCCAAATTCCCAGATTTTTGTTGTTGTTGTTTTGGTCTTTTTGGTTTGGTTTGGTTTAGTTATACAAGACAGGGTCTCTGTGTGTATTCCTGGCTGTCCTGGAACCCACTCTGAAGACCAGGCTGGCCTCGAACTCTGAGATCTGTCTGCAAAAGGTGTGAGCCACCACTGCCCACCTTGGGCTTTTGGTCTTTTTGTTTTATTTTGATTTAACACTGATCCCCATTTGTAATGTTCATAGAGGGGTCTGGGGCCACCCACTGGAGCTTGGTCCACACCCTTAAAGACAACCTTCCCCCAAGTCATCGAGTCAGCCAGGGGAGGGGGCTCCTGCGTCCTCCTGCTCTGGGCTGGACTGCCTTGGTCTGGCACGGCAGCCGCAGCTGCTGTGAGGTCAGGAATGCAGCAGCTGTGTCCAGAAGACACCTGTGCGGTGCTGTCCTCCCCGGTGCCAGGCTTTTCTATGCAATACTTCTACCTCTCTTGCATCCTGGGGAGCAGGGCCTCAGTTACAAGAAAGCGTCTGAGGGGAACTGGACAGGCAAGGGGAGGCTTGGCAGGGGCTTTCTAGGGAAACTCCTCAGAGATCCAGGCCGACATGGAGCAGGTGGACCAGGGCAGGGAGGGAGGGGAACGGCAACCAGGAACATCTGTGTGAATCCAGCAGGTTCCACCCTAGGTGCCAGAGGGCGGCCTTGAAATACTCAGTGTGGAATTCCCAAAGGCCTCGGTGGGCTAAGGTCTCCAGCCTGCACACCCTCGGCCTCTGTGATGTCACTGGGCAATGTGACGTCATCGGAGACTCTGGAGACTCTAGCCAACTCCTGGGGAGATTCACACCCATGTACCATCTTGGAGGGGCCCAAGGCAGACAGGCCATGAGACCTTAGGCCATGTCGAAACGTGACGTCGTCTTCACCAATGTCACTGTTGTCCAACTATTGAGGCAATCATGCCCTGGTGAGGAGAGCCTTTCAGGGAGACCCTGGGAAGAGGAGGGAAGTGTGGTCTGGGAGTCAACGCCCGCCCACACAGGGTGCCCAGAGTCTTGGAGACCCTTCCTCCACCACAATGCTGGCTGCTAAGTGTCCTGGAGGAGCAGGCCCGTGGTGGGGGGGCCTTCAGGCAGCTTCCAGGCCTCTTCCCTCCAGGGGTCCCTTCCCTCCCCATCCCCACTCACTCCTCACCACAGAGCCTCTGCTTGGGATGGGGATGGAGGTTGGGAACTCTGTCCCCGGGACTGCCTGAGCTCTGGGATGAGGCAGGGAGGAGGGAGAGGAGGGGCGACCGGGAGTATCTGTGAGAGGGTTAGGTGAGTGTGTTTCCCCCATTTCACTGATATCCCTGGTGGCCAGGGCCTAGTCCTCCCTGGGCTGCTGCCCTCCAGGTTGGAGGAGGCATGCGTTCACACCCTCACATGCCTGAGGGCCTGAGTGTCCACTGTCCTCATTCTACGGAGGCCAGCAGAGGTCAAACCACTTTGCAGTCTCCCAGCTGAGGCATGGTGCAGCTGGGGTTCTCCCAGGACCTCGGGTCTCTTGGAAGTCTACCTGAATAAATCTCCCGGCTTTCTTTTGCTTTAGAAGGCTTTCCGTTTTATTTGGGGAAAGGGATGTGTGTTCCACAGCACCCAGCTGCCTGGCGCATGCCTGAACATCAGTGGTCTGGCTAGTTCTGTGGCTCCACGGATTTGGGAAAGAAACACCAGGTCATGCAGTTGGTCACTAGAGGCTCCACGACAAACTGTGTCTGTGTGGTGGAGAGAGAGAGAGAGAGAGAGAGAGAGACAGAGACAGAGACAGAGAGAAAGACAGAGAGAGACAGAAAGAGAGAGAGGGAGAGGGAGAGAGAGAGAGGAGAGAAGGAGAGAGAGGGAGAGGGAGGAGAGGAAATTGGCATTTGTGTTACATGTGTGTGTGAACACACACGTGTGCAAGTTTGTGCACCAGCCACATGGAGGCACTCTTACATCTTTGTGTGGGGGTCAGAAGACAATTTGTGGTTCTCTTCTACCACAAGGGTCCTAGGATTTGAACCCTGGTCAGGAGCCTTGGGGGCAATCGCCTCTACCCACTGAGCCGCCCCACCATGCCCACATGTTGTATGGAGTGATCCAGCTCACCACCCCCTTTCTGGACTCTCTCCTCCCCACAGTGATCAGACCACCACCACCACCACCACCACCACCACCTCCCCCACCTGAGCCCGTAGCTGAGGAGCCACCACCCAAGACCCCATCGCCACCACCATCGCCTCCTCCAGTCAAAGTAGAAGAGAAGGCACCTCCTCCGCCGCCGCCGCCACCGCCGCCTCCTCCTCCTCCGCCACCCAAAAAGCCAATGAAAGAGCTAACAGTGGGCATCAATGGGTGAGTGAAGCTCAGGCCTCGGGGCACTGTGGGCTGGGAGCGGCTTCCTTCTCACCGGGCCAGCAAGGGCAAGCCAGTCCTGGGAGAACTCCCTTCTAGGAGACAACATTCAGATACGGGCCCGAGGAAGTTCAAGGCTGCCTGAGAGATAAAAGGCTGGGAGGGCAGCCCTGGCCGGGCACTAGAAGCTTCTGGGGAGAGACACAGGAGAGGACGAAAAGCGTCGGCCATCTCCCCACTGGGGAAAGTCTTCAAGGGGCAAGCACGGGCTCTGGCATGGAGGGGGGGGGTGTGCTTTGTATATTCAAGGACGGTCAGGACATCTGCACGGCTGTAAGAGCTGACTGAGGGTGGGGTGGGGTGGGGGGGGCGCCACAGAGCCCTTTAAGACCCAAAGCAGCATGGTAGGAAATGCAGATCTCGTTTAACACAGAGAGGCGGGACGATTTCCTGGATCCACCCAGCTATAGGGGTGTAAGAGTAGGGAGCAATCGTCAAGCAAGGCGGTGTGCCCGCAACTAGGGAAGCTACGGCGGCGGGACTCCCAAAATTCAAGGTCGACCTGTGCTATGTATTGTGGGTCCCAGGCTATTGTGGGGCTGCAGAGTGGCAGCACACACTTTTGATCGCGGCAGAAGCAGAGGCAGGCGGACCTCTGTGAGTCCCGGGCCAGCCAGGGCTACACAGTGAGACTCTGTCTCAAACAAACAAAAATAAGGGAGTGGTGGCAGGCGATGGGGTAGAGGTATACAAACTGGCAATAAGAGTATTTGCCCGGCATGCACAAAGCCCCGGATTTGGTCTCCAGCACTGCACACAAAAAATAATAATACAAATGAAAACAGAATAAAAAGGTGCCGGGTGGTGGTGGAGCACGCCTTTAATCCCAGCACTTGGGAGGCAGAGGCAGGCGGATCTCCGTGAGTTCGAGGCCAGGCTGGTCTACAGAGAGAGTTCCAGGACAGGCTCCAAAACAATAGAAACCCTGTCTCGAAAAAAGACCCAAAAATAAATGGACGGATGGATGAAGAGGGGAAGAGGAAAGGAGGGGAGCAGAGGGGTAAGAGAAGGGAAGAAGATGAATGAAGGAGACTAGTGGGGTTCGGACATGGGAGGACCGATTAAGAGCCTAGCAGTCTCGCCTGGGCAAGGGATGAACGCAGTAATATACACGGAAGTGGCTGCTTCCCACACCCACACAGAACCTAGACCTCTTGAGCAAGCCTTGTGCTGTCTGTCTGTTTCCAGTGACTATCACTAAATACACGATACTGGGCCATTTAAAAGAGATTTCTTAATGCCTCGACACTGGGAGACTCCAACATCGAAGTGATGTATCTGTTGGGGACTCCGCAGAGTCCTAAGGCAGTGCACTGGTGGCATCGCCAGCAGAGTCAGAGCCAGCTTCCGGGTCTTTCTTCTTATAAAGCCACTAAGGTCATCACAGGGGCCCCACCCTCCTGATTTCATTTAAACTTAATTTTCTAAGTCCCAACTAGTAATACCACTAGAGGATTAGAAATGATCTGTGTGTGCGTGTGCATGCGCGTGTATGTGTGCATGCCTGTACGCATGCATAGAGCAGAGCACACCATGCAGGAGTCAGGACTCTTCTTCCACCATACGGGTCCCAGGGATAGAACCCAGGATGGCATGCTTGGAGTAAGTGACCCACTGAGCCACCCCACCAGCCCCAAGTTTCCATCCTCTCAATGCCCCACAAGGGTTCGAAATTCAACCTGGACTTTGGTGGGACATTTGGCCCCATGGCATCCCTGTCAGCCCGTTCTCACACCCAACCCCCCCTTTGTTTTGCATGTTCCTGCTTGGACAGATTTGGACGCATCGGCCGCCTGGTACTGCGAGTCTGCATGGAGAAGGGCATTAAGGTGGTGGCAGTGAACGACCCGTTCATCGACCCAGAATACATGGTAAGTAGCAAATGGGGAGGAACCAGCAGCAAAGGGTGGCACTTGAGTTGGGGACGGACGGACCTGCAGAATCTTCCACAAGGTAAGGACTTGCCTGGGGGGTTGCTTGCTTCTGTCACCCAAGAGGAGGACCCCACCCTGTCCACCGCAGGTATACATGTTCAAGTATGACTCCACGCATGGGAGATACAAAGGGACCGTGGAACACAAGGATGGACGACTAGTTGTGGATAACCTTGAGATCAACGTGTACCAGTGGTAAGGGCAGATGTCTGTGACTCCCTGGGGCCGGGAGGTGGTCCTCACACGCTACAGCTGAGCTGTGTGAGCATGCCTCTAGGTACTGTTTAGAGAGGATCTCAGGAAGGCCTCTGGTTCCTACAACGGTTACGAGAGCTGGTGGTGTTTAGCGCTTTGTATGTAACACATCTGCACGTGTTCCCTTGGCTGTGGGGGTTCACCGTGCCTCATCTCCCGCTTCCGCTGAGCCACCGGCCACCTCCCTCTCTCTATGGCAACTGAGCCAGCTCCTACCCAGCATCCCCTGAAGCCTTCTGAATCTCCGCCAAGCCAGGGTACTCCTCTTCCTAACACCCCCATGCTCCTCAGCACCTCAAAATAAGGCCAAACTCCCCATGGATCCCACAAACTATGCATCCCACCCTGCAGTGCCTCTCTGCCACACTGGTCATTGCCTCTGGGGACTCTGGGCCTGCACCTCTTACACCCAAGCAAGGCCGACTTCACAGTGCCCACCTCACACGGTTTCTGCTGACGCAAAGTCCCACTATTTGCTGATAAATTCAGAATCTATATGTAAGGCGGTAACATGTCAGGGGTGGGGTAGACACTTAAAACTCCTGCACTTGGGAGGCTGAGACAGGAGGATTATCACAAATTCTAAGTTAGCCTGGAGCTGCATAATAAAATTCTGTCTCTAGGAAAAACAATGGCACATTACTTGCAAAGTGTAAGAGTGCCAGGCAAGGTCTTCTGGCTCCTTCCCAGGCAGAATGCTCTCAGCTTCCCTTTGAACTAGCTTAAAGTGAGGTATAATGGAGTTTGGAGGGGGCTGGGGGAAGGTAGGTTCTGGGGTGTCAGGGAAAACAGAAGCCGCTGGCCCTGAGTTTGAGACCATGACCCTAAGAGCAGGTCTGGTGGGGGAGCTTGTCAGGGGGAGCTTGTCAGTCACCCCTGGTGGGGGAGCTTGTCAGTCACCCCTGGTGGGGGAGCTTGTCAGGGGGAGCTTGTCAGTCACCCCTGGTGGGGGAGCTTGTCAGGGGGAGCTTGTCAGTCACCCCTGGTGGGGGAGCTTGTCAGTCACCCCTGGTGGGGGAGCTTGTTGTTGGGGGGAGCTTGTCAGTCACCCCTGGTGGGGGAGCTTGTCGGGGGGCTTGTCAGTCACCCCTGGTGGGGAGCTTGTCGGGGGGAGGAGCTTGTCAGTCACCCCTGGTGGGGGAGCTTGTCGGGGGGGGGGGGAGCTTGTCAGTCACCCCTGGTGGGGGAGCTTGTCAGTCACCCCTGGTGGGGGAGCTTGTCAGGGGGAGCTTGTCAGTCACCCCTGGTGGGGGAGCTTGTTGTTGGGGGGAGCTTGTCAGTCACCCCTGGTGGGGGAGCTTGTCGGGGGGGGCTTGTCAGTCACCCCTGGTGGGGGAGCTTGTCAGTCACCCCTGGTGGGGAGCTTGTCAGTCACCCCTGGTGGGGGAGCTTGTCAGGGGGAGCTTGTCAGTCACCCCTGGTGGGGAGCTTGTTGTTGGGGGAGCTTGTCAGTCACCCCTGGTGGGGAGCTTGTGGGGGGGCTTGTCAGTCACCCCTGGTGGGGAGCTTGTCGGGGGGGAGCTTGTCAGTCACCCCTGGTGGGGGAGCTTGTCAGTCACCCCTGGTGGGGGAGCTTGTCAGGGGGAGCTTGTCAGGGGGAGCTTGTCAGTCACCCCAAGTTCTTCTGCGTCTGCCTGGGCATCACCAGTGCTGCTCTTGAGGTGTCCTCCCGCCCTCAGCCTCGACACCCAGCACCCTACTCCCATACTGCTGGAGAATGAATGACCTGTGATAGCCGCACCTGTGAGTCTGAATAAGTTTATAAACTATATACGCAAGCCCAGTGAAAAATAAACAGCAAGGGACAGATGGATGGACAGACAGATAGATAGATAGATGGACAGACAGATGATAGATAGATAGATAGATAGATAGATAGATAGATGGACAGACAGATGATAGACAGACAGACAGACAGCAAAATGTCAAATCAGGCACTCAGAACATGTGGTGGACATCAGCTGGGGATAGCCCAGTAAGAGTCAGTTTCCAGGCAGAGCTGGTGAAGCTCCTAAGTAAAAGAGCAAATCACATCAGAGCGTGATGAGACATCATCCAGTCAAGGATGTCTTAAACTCCAGCAGAGGCTGACTGGGGAAGCCGAGGGTTCAGCAGGGATCCTGACTGAGCTTTCTCTCGTGGCTGAGCTTACAGGCTCTCCCACTGGGTGCCAGGGGATAAACAACGGTAACCTCCATTCTCAAGGACTGCGTTCTGACCCCTGGGCTACTTTACAGTTCCCACCTCCCTCTGTCACGGAGGTAAGAGGGGCAAGTCCAACCCAGGACAGGGGTCTTGAGAAACGCTTGACATAAACATGCTTGGGTCTTGAGCCAGCTTCTCAGTGAGCCCCAAGAGCACGTGACAACTCGCCAGCAAATATACAATACGACCGCCTTCCCCGGCAGTGCCACTGCATGAAACAGACCTGTAGGCAGAGGGGCTGTGCCAACTCGGGTTCTGTTTCAGGAGCTGCCGAAGTACTCCAAATCCAAAGCCAGGAAGTGGGTGACCAGATGAAAGCTACCTGGGCCAGGGGGTGAATGGCGAGGCTGGAAGAGCAGAGGGAGAGAGGAGCCATGAGGCCAGGAGAGGGGGTTAGCACGTGCATTCATTCATCCCCACAGGGCAGCTAACGGGCAGAACCCAGGGCTGTCCAGTACGTGCATTCATTCATTCATTCATTCATTCATTCATCCCCACAGGGCAGCTAACGGGCAGAACCCAGGGCTGTCCAGCACGTGCATTCATTCATTCATCCCCACAGGGCAGCTAACGGGCAGAACCCAGGGCTGTCCTGACACTGGCTTTTTTGAACGGTGATCTTAGAGGTGGCATTGTGGTGGCGAACAGCGTTCTCTACAGATAAAAAAGCTAAAACTGAAGGCTTGGGACAGCTTAGTGTGCAAAATGAGGAAGAAGAAAATGAGACAAGGGATGTAGCTCGGCAGTAGAATACTCTATGTATAAAGCCCTGGCATGACAGAGATTAAACAAATATGCTCAGCAGTTAAGATCACAGATTGTCCTTTCAGGGGACCCAAGTTCAATTCCCAGCACTCCCATAAGTGACTCACAGCCGCCCCTCTATAACTACATTTCCAGGGGATCTAACAACAACTCTATCTCTCTCTCTCTGTCTGTCTGTCTCTGTCTCTGTCTCTGTCTCTCTCTCTCTCTCACACACACACACACAGGACTTAAAATAAGTTATTTTAAAATGTTTAAATATAGCCAGGCAGTGGTGGTACATGTCTTTAATCCCAGCACTTGGGAGGCAGAGGCATGTGGATATATGTGAGGCTAGCCTGGTCTACAAAATGAGTTCCAGGACAGCCCAGGCTACACAGAGAAACCCTGTCTCAACCCCCCCACAAAAAAAAGAAAAAGAAAGGGAGAGTGGTTGGTGTGTGCCTGGAAGACCACAAAAATGAGCCAGGAGGCAGAGGCAGGCGGAACTCTGTGAGTTTGAGGCCAGCCTGGTCTACAGAGCGAGTTCCAGGACAGCCTCCAAAACAATACAGAGAAACCCTGTCTCGAAAAACCAAATGGTGGGGAGGGGAAGATGGCACCAATGCGGAACAGGTAAGTCCGTATGGACTTAGGGAATGGGTGTTAGCAGGCCAAGGCCTCTGGCTTGCCTGACACCCACACCAGGAAGACTAACACAGACTTCCCGCCACTCCACAGCAAAGATCCCAAAGACATCCCCTGGAGTTCTGTAGGGAGTCCCTATGTGGTGGAGTCTACAGGTGTTTACCTGTCCATAGAGGCAGCCTCGGTAAGTGGGGGACAGCGTCCAGGGCTGCCTGGGAAGGGGGGGCGGTGGCGCCTGGAGACCCTAACCCTCGACCTCTGTCACTAGGCACACATCTCAGCTGGTGCCCAGCGTGTGATCGTCTCTGCGCCCTCCCCCGACGCGCCCATGTTGGTCATGGGCGTGAACGAGAAGGAATACAACCCTGGCTCTATGAACATTGTCAGGTACCTGGGGTGGCAGCCATTCTCCAGCATGCGGGCGGGCGGCACCCGCAGACAGGCCAGGCTGTGGCGAGGGAACACTCGCTCCTCCCCCGCCCCCAACCCCGTTAGATCTCTGGGGTCTTTTACATCATCTTGCTCCCACCCACCAGCCTCCAAGTGTGGAGGCCTCGAGTTGATTTCACCACGAAACTCCTAGCGTTGCTCAGCACGCACAGGCAGCATTCCGCGGGGTCCTTCACCTTATGGCCTCACCATTCCCTGTGAGCCCTCCCTGGTTAAGCGAGACCTGGCTGAGTGACGGGAGGAAGGGGGACTCTGCCACTCACCCGGTCCACCATGGCCATTTCAGCAATGCATCTTGTACCACCAACTGCCTGGCCCCCCTCGCGAAGGTTATTCATGAACGCTTTGGGATCGTGGAAGGGCTAATGGTAAGTTGGGGCAGGAAGGACGGCAGGGAAGGCGACCCCTTCTTCCTGGGCTTTGCTTAAAGTATGGAGTTGGCCTGGGAAGGGAGCGCACCAGAAGAGACGCCTTTTGAAATACTCTGACAAGGACCAGGTCCTGGCTGCCAGGCACCCTTCCTATGGCCTGTGGTGGTGGCCCTGTTAGTCTCCATACCTAGGCCACCCCCCAAGTCCTAGAAGAAAAAGGAATGGGAGCTTAGGAGCAAAAATAAAAATAAAAAACTTCATCTTGGTCCTCTTGTTCCCCAAGACCACAGTCCATTCCTACACGGCCACCCAGAAGACAGTGGACGGGCCGTCAAAGAAGGACTGGAGAGGCGGGCGAGGGGCTCACCAGAACATCATCCCGTCTTCCACTGGGGCTGCCAGTGCTGTAGGCAAAGTCATCCCAGAGCTCAAAGGGTATGAGGACACAATACTGCAAGCCCAGGGTTGGGGCATACCCCAGCAGGACCTCACTGGCCCCAGGGCGAGGGGGAGGATGGAATCAGAAGTCTCTGGGCTCTGACTCCCACCCTCCTTGTGAAATCCTCCAGGAAGTTAACGGGAATGGCATTCCGGGTGCCAACCCCAAATGTATCTGTCGTGGACCTGACCTGCCGCCTGGCCCAGCCTGCCTCCTACTCGGATATCAAGGAGGCTGTGAAAGAAGCGGCCAAGGGGCCTCTGGCTGGCATCCTTGCTTATACAGAGGACCAGGTAGGGACTGAAGAAACCTTAGGGGAAGTGAGGGGGGGGATTCCACTCACCAGGGAGCTATTCTGCATGGACAAGATAAAAACCATTAAGTGCTAGCAGTCTTGGGGGAGGGAGGAGAACTTCAGGCTAGCTGGGCATGGTGGCGGCCGGTCTCTGAGCGCCAGACCAGAGAGGGCTACATAATGGGACCCTGTCTCAAAAACCAGAAACACAAAGCCTGCAGGGTGCATGGGGAAATGTGTACAGGTAGACCAGCAGTGGTGAGCCATGTGTGCAGGCATGAAGCTGGCATGTCCTCCTCATCACACGCCACTCATTTACTGAAGCAAGCTGTAACTGCACCTTACCAATTTTAGCTAATCCGCCTAGCCACCCTGCCCTAGGGATATTCGGTCTGGATCTGGAATGCTGGGATTACAGGTGTTCACCACCTGCCCAGCCTTTTGGGGGATGCAAACGCAGATGATCATGCCAATGTGACAAGCACTTTTACCCGCTGAGCCATCCCCGCCATCCCCAGTCAGTGTCCTTCCTGATAGTCCCTGAGACAAAAGTCCCACCTGCCCTTGGTCACATGCTGTCACCAGCACAAAAGAACTCTATCCAGTAAGCTAGGTGAACTGATAACAATGTGGTCTGGGAGTCAAAGTCTGGGCTCCTGGAGGTCCTTACTCAGCTACATTTACCTTTGAAATTGTCACCTAGGTGGTCTCCACGGACTTTATCGGCGATCCCCATTCGTCCATCTTCGACGCTAGGGCTGGCATTGCCCTCAATAACAACTTTGTTAAACTCGTTAGCTGGTAAAGGGGGAAGATTGGTAGGAGGGCGGGCGCGCACGCACACACACACACACACACACACACACTAATGCCTCTCTCTCTCTCACACACACTGATGCCTCTCCTACACACACACACACACACTGATACCTCTCCTACACACATACACACACTGATGCCCCTCTCTCTCACTCACACACACACACACACACGCACGCACGCACACACGCACTGATGCCTCTCACACACTGATGACTCTTCTACACACACACACACACACACACACGCACTGATGCCTCTCCTCCCTTCCCCAGGTACGACAACGAATATGGCTACAGTAACCGTGTGGTCGACCTCCTTCGCTACATGTTTAGCCGCGAGAAGTAACCCGAGAGGCCCCTCCTAGCTTCCCCGCGCACCTCACGCCCCTGCCCTCGGGTCCCCTGCAAAGGAGATCGCGCGGTTCTCCCGCCGCCGCCGGGTCAACAATGAAATAAAAACCAGAGTGCGCACAGTCTTCGCCCTCTTGTCTCTGCGCCGATCATCGTGCGGTCGGGGCCGGGTTCAAGGTTCTCGGACGGGCGCTTGCTTCCGAGCCGGAAGCCGCTTAGGGAGAGCAAGCGCCACTCTGGCGTGGAGGGCAGGCGCTACCAGAACGCCAGTCCTCCACCGGGTCCGGCTCTGGAAGCCCTTACGGCGGCGGGGCGGGCGGCGGGCGCTCTGACGTCACGGCGCGCGACGCGCCAGGGCGGACTACAAGTCCCACAAGGCTGCGCGCGAGCCACGGTACTCTCAGGTGGGCGCCGGGGCCCGGGTGCCGGCGAGGCCGAGACCCCCCCACCCACCCACCCCCGACACCTTTACCCGGAGGAGACGCCGCCTGGCGAGTCTCGCGCTGGCGGGACCGGGCGGTCGGCGCCATGACCCTGTTCCACTTCGGGAACTGCTTCGCCCTCGCCTACTTTCCCTATTTCATCACGTACAAGTGCAGCGGCCTGTGAGTGCAGGGCGGGCGCTGGGCGGAGAGGGTGCGGGTCCCGGGCCGACCCCTCACCGCCCGCTTCTCCAGGTCTGAGTACAACGCCTTCTGGAAATGCGTCCAGGCCGGGGTCACCTACCTCTTTGTGCAGCTATGCAAGGTGAGGGACTCCGGGACTCCACGTGTCTGGCCTCCGGGCATTCCAGACCCTGCTCTGGGACCCGGCTCTGCTGCTGTCGCCCTCCACGGGACCCACCCTCGAGACCACGCTTAGGAACTGTGCCCCGAATGCCTTAGAAAGGATGGAAGGAGGCCCAGGAGAGCCCTTGATGCAGCCCTTTCTTAGCGCTTTTGGTAAAACTGAGAAACCCTCCTAAGTGTTGGCCAACCGGTGTTTGCACCCACAGGGTGTCGCATGGCGCGACACACGCTTTCACCCCGGCATTTCTAGACTTCAGGTTCCCCTGTGGGCTTCTAGACTTCTCGGAAACCAGGCATCTGCTCTGTTAACCCCCGCTCTTGTGAGCCTGTCACTTGGACCCGGGATGACCCCCGGGAATCCCAGCCCTTTCTTGGGCACTCACTCTCCGTGATATCCGCGTAGTATTAACTCCCTCACCTTCGGGTGACCTTTTCTGCTTTCTGTTCCCAGATGCTGTTCTTAGCCACTTTCTTCCCCACCTGGGAAGGGGGCATCTATGACTTCATTGGGGTGAGTTGGGGGCACGGGATGGGCAGGGGCTGCCGGAGTGGGTTCGCCCGCCCCCCCCCCCCGTGTTTAACTCGCGACCCTACCTGACCCACAGGAGTTCCTGAAGGCCAGTGTGGATGTGGCAGACCTGATAGGCCTAAACCTTGTCATGTCCCGGAATGCAGGCAAGGGCGAATACAAGATCATGGTTGCTGCCCTGGGCTGGGCCACCGCTGAGCTCATCATGTCCCGGTGTGTGGAGCACCCCTAGCCCAAGGCTTTTGGGAAAAGGACACCCAGGCCCCACAGGGGTGCTGGAGGGTGGGGATCAGAGTCGGGGGTGTCTGGGTACTGGAGACTCCTTCTCTTTGCCTTCCTCAGCTGCATTCCTCTATGGGTGGGAGCCCGAGGCATTGAATTTGACTGGAAGTATATCCAGATGAGCATTGACTCCAACATCAGTCTGGTACGCAGCGCGTCCCCCAACCACCCTTACGCCGTCACCCACGCTTCTCCCCCAGACTTGACCCCGACTCCCCATTTCCTTCCCCCCTCCCTGCAGGTCCACTACATAGTCGCCGCCGCTCAGGTCTGGATGATAACACGCTATGACCTGTACCACACCTTCCGGCCCGCTGTTCTCCTCCTGATGTTCCTGAGTGTCTACAAGGCCTTTGTCATGGAGTGAGTCGGGTGGGGCTCAAGGCTGGGCTCACATGGGGGTGCGTTGTGTCGTTCCCGTCCTCATTGTAGTTTTCTCGTCCCCCTGCAGGACCTTTGTCCATCTCTGCTCGTTGGGCAGCTGGACAGCGCTGCTGGCCCGGGCCGTGGTAACAGGCCTGCTGGCGCTCAGCACCTTGGCGCTGTATGTTGCTGTTGTCAATGTACACTCCTAGCTTGGTAGCCCGGGTGTTGGCATACCTTTTTGCTGCCTCTCTCCAGATATTAGTCAAGTAAACAGTGTTTGGAAAGGTTTTTTTGTGTGTGTCCATTTTTCTCTCGGAGATTAATCCTAGGACCGTGTCACCTAAGTCGTACAGAGCCTGTCTGTCTTCGGAGCCAGGGAGACAAGCTGGCCATGTTTCCACATGGGAATTGGAGGGCTTTATCATTATTGAATAAGCTAAGGAATGAGCACACTAAGCCGGGTGTTGGTGGCGCATGCCTTTAATCCCAGCACTCGGGTGGCAGAGGCAGGCGGATCTCTGTGAGTTCAAGGCCAGCCTGGTCTACAGAGCGAGTTCCACCAACGCCCCGGCTCTTAAGTCTCTTAAGGAGGAGTTCTGGGTCATTGTAGCACCCGAGGCCGCTGACTTGGATACCGTCCTAGTGCTAACCCCACCTCCGTAGTTTGCCCTTCCTTATCCATTGGGCTAGGCCATTGCTCCACCCACCCCCTTCCTGAGAAGGGTGTCAGAACCCAGGCCTTGAATGTCTCGCTTAAGCTCCACCTTGACAGAAAGCTACCCGGGTCTCCCCAGTGTCCTCACACAACCCCACTCCACAGGGAGCAGGATAGCCGCCCCACCCATTCTCGCTGGGCTCTTAAGATCCTGCATGGTCCACCTCAGACATAGGAAAGGACAGCTCCTCAAGGCTCGCCCTGACATGACAGTGTCTACAGAAGGCACATGTGTCCGTCACGTGGACTTCCTTCTTCCCTCTCCCTCCCTCCCTCAGCTCCTTGAGTGTCCCCTGTAGCCTTGTCTACCCAGAGCAACCCGTGCCCTTGACTTTGCGTGGACAGAGAGCAGAGCGGGTGCACATTGTGGACGTACATTGGGGTCCCTTCTCACGCATCTCCACCTCGTGACCCGCCTGCCCCTTCCTGGGGATGACGGAACTAACCAGGGTCCTAACGGAGAAGCCAGGGCTGCGATTAGAGGCCTGGATGGAAAGCGTGCAGGTCGTGGGTGCTCGGGGACGCTGCATCGGCCTTGTTCTAAAGGACCGGTTAGTGGAGGAAGCGTTGAGGCGGAGAAAGGCCTGGGGTGTGATGGACGGCCTGGCTTCTGGGAAGCAAGCGGGGCTTGAGACGCTCCAGGAGCAGGGACTAGAGCTGACGGCTGCCTATGATGTTGACCAGGGCACGGGGCTTCTAGAAGGTTTTGGTTTGGGGTTTGGGAAGCTGTGCTTGGCGGTGGTATGGAGACAAATCAGAAGGCCTGGGTGGAAGAGACCCTCAGCAGGGGTGAGGATGTCTCTGGAAGCCTAGAAGTGGGGTGGTGACAGTGAGCTGATTGCTTTCGGTCTCTTGGTAGGCTAAGGGGAGAAGCGACAGGTAACGGGGCAATGGTCCACGACACCACTCAGTTGGCATTTGGTAGCTCCCAAGAGCCTTCCACTCTTCCCAGGGAGATCTCCCCTGTGACAGGGACACTGGGCAGCAAATGGGAGCAGGTTTGAGAGCGATGGAAAGGCCGGTGTGAGTTACCTCAGTCCCAGCAGGAGAGACTGGAGATGAAACTCAAGTCCTCAGAGCTTGGGGGGTGGGGGTAGACAATGGGAAGGGGAAGCTCCTGACACAGAAGGGAGGAGAGACGAGCAGAGGTTCCCAGGGAAGGGGGGTCGGCTCTTCAGGAGGCAGGGGTTGGTGGGAGAACCTCCATGATTCAGTAAGGACACAAAGACACAGGCACCAGCGCATGCAATAAAAGAAGACCGTTTGGAACGTAGCAACAGGCCGCTTGCTGCGTAAGTCTGGACCCTGCGCCAAGAAGCTGGAGAGGGGGTGTTACTGAGAATACCCCATCTAGGGCTCCCGGGGTAGTGGAATGCTTCAAGGCCATGCTCTGGATAGCATCTGAGGTCATATCCCAGCTTGTCTCTAAACTGGCACCTCGGGCAAAGAAATGGAAGTAATTTCCCCCAAGGAAATCTTTGAATCCCTACCCGAAGTTCTGCTGCAGCCCTGTGGTAGGTTTGTGGGGAGTCGAGGGTACCCCTAAACAAGTAAGACCGCACGGCTGATGTGGTATGGTTTTTATTGCTGTCCAGCAGAGCTCGAGGGGGTCTGTAGCAGAGCTCCAGGCAACCTTCCTGTCCAGACGCAGTCCCCGGGGTGGACATCCCTCCATAGGAACACCCCAGAGACCTCGCCCGCGGCGCAGCTGCTCCGAGAGAGCATGGAACTCCGAGGTGTGAGGAACTGCAGTCCCTCCAAGGGGTGAACGGCTGTGAAAGTGGGCCCAGCCGGGGCTGGGAATCCGATGCAGAGGTGTTTTGATGGCCACCCATGAGTGCCACCCCTACCATGCTGCTCGATTACTGAAGGCAGCTGTCCCCTCTAATAGTACAGTTCCTGGTCCCACCAGCCTGAAGGAGAGAGGGGGAAGGGCAGCTCAGTGCTGGCTTGCACAAGCAAGCGCGAGGCTATAAGCAGCGGTTTGCTTTAGAGGGTCCAAGTCATGTTAAATAGAGGTCGAGCCACTCGGCTCCCACTCCTGCCCCCCCCAGCCCCCGTCCACACTTACTCCCCGGGCAACAGCGAACGCCGAGTTTCCGGATCTCATCGTAGACAAAGATGAGGAGACCGAAGGGCATGGGGACCAGCCACCACTGGAACCTGAGGGACGAGCGAGGGACGGTGGGGTCAAGGCCGTGCCCGGGTCCCACGTCTCCCGTC